GGTGCAATTGGTGGTCAAAACCCTGCTGTTGTCTTCTCTACTGCTCTCCCTGCCTTCCAGTTGCGATATACTTACAGTTCACGGGACAGTGTATTTTGCTTTTTAAAGATTCATCGCGGTAGATAGGATAGGTTTTTCCTCCTCCTCCCCCTTCTCCTCCTCCTCTCTGATTTTACTGTAATCACTTTGCAAGGTTTGCAATAAAAGCAGGAGCAGCACTGTGCGATTCGAAGCCCCCCAGGTCGTCTTCTTCGACACTAGAGTTAACTACAATTCACACACTCTTTTCTCTCTCTCTCTCTCTCTCAGCCGCTTACGACCAAGGCATAAGCTTTATTCTTCCCCCTCTCTGCACAGACAGGAAAAAAAAAAAATAAAAGAAAAAAAAATAAAAAAAGAAGATTCGCTTTATTCAAAGAGCTTGTGTCCGAGAAAACTCCAAATCCTCTTAGCAATGGGCAGTTCTTAAAAAAAAATAAAAAAAATAAAAAAATTAAAAGGTTAAGAAAAAAAAATCCCAATAAGGTCGGTATCTGCACGGCTGATAGAAGAACCCCATGTATTACAGAGCAGTCCACACAATAACCCTTTTGGTTGGCAGAGAAGCACCCAAATCCGTCTTCAGAGATCGCTTAAAATGTTCAGCTCTTTCTCCGGAGCGGATTTTTTTTTTTAACAACTCTGCGCAAGGTCATTAGTCACAAAGCAACGATATGGAAACTGCAGAAGCCGTTTGCCCAGAATTTGCAAGGCTGTAGATATGAACATACACACATAACCGTCCCAAGTTTGGTTTTGCATCCGCAGTTTTTGTGTGTGCCTTACCTGCATTTGCACTGCATGTGTTATAGCAATCTGGATCTGCAGCACTGAGAGCGATTCACAAATGAGATTGCAGTCTCTCTCTCTCTCTCTCTCTCTCTCTCTCCTCTCTCTCTCTCTCTCTCTCCTCTTCCTTCCCGTCCCAATGCAGGTAACCAGATCTGAACTTGATCCTTTCAGTTCAAAGGTTAGCAACAAAACTATGTGTCCAAAGGCGATTACTGGTCTCCCGTAAACATACCCGGAGCGGAACAAGATGTAACTGGATCCCCCACGTGAATTAACACAGATTCTGAATTACATCCATATAAGCGGAATGGCAAAGGGGAGGGGAAAAGATCCGCGACGCGATTAAAAAAAAAAAAAAAAAAAAAAAAAAAAAAAAAAAAAAACAAAAACCCTAAACCCCACAAACAAAAAGAGTTCTATTTGCAAATAAAATTCTATCAGTCAATTGTTTCCTGCGATCTGCACAGCCACGGTGGGTGAAATCTGCAATTGTGTATTCCCTCCTATGTCTTTCAGAGAAGTGTGGCTCAGGCGCTTTCACGACAGAGCGGCTTGTGCGTTAAAATGTTGAATGGCAACTGAGAAGCTTCCCACTCGGAAAAGGAAAAAAAAAAAAAAAAAAAAAAAAAAAAAAAAAAAAAGGGAGAGAGAAGCAGTAAACAGGCAAGTTTGCCCAAACTGGTGGGAGCTGCTGAAGCCTCTCTCGGTAGCTGTTCCCTGACGCTGCAGCAGCAGAGCCGCCTGCGCTACATACACACAGAAAGAGAGAGGGAGAGAGAGAAAGAGAGCAAAGAGCGAGCGAGAGTGAGAGAGGGAGGGAGGAGGAGGGAGGGAGGAGAAGGAGGGAGGACGAGTCAAGCGCTGCACTCCAGAAAGCCCAGCCTTACCCTCTGTCGCTGCTGCTGCTAGTGCCGCAAGTGGGATAGCTGCTCATCACAAAACACCAGTTCAGTCCTCAAAACTGGTCCTCATTACACGTCCGTCTGCTGCTGCTGTTGCCTTCTCAAACCCGTGATCTGTAGTGATCTTCTCCTATCCTTTTTCTCCCCACCGCCGCTGTAGATTGTGAACCGAGCAACGATGTTTAAAGCAAATGTTTATTCTCTTCCCTTTCAGGCAGAGCTGGTGCACGTTCGGGGCTCTGCATTTTGCGGAATCACGCTGGTAAGAAAACTCGTTTCGCACAGATTCCCTCCTTCCCTTGTGCCGATGCTTTTGTGAAATAGCTGCAGTCACCGTAACTGCACAAAAGTCCAAGGAGGAAGGAGGGGCTGCCTTAGATCTCAGACTTTCGTCCTGTTTCCCAGTGCTGTTTGAGCCTTTTGGTCTTTGTGTTCATATTCTTCCTATTGCCATGATCTGAATGTGTCTTTTCAGCATGTTTGTGGGTTTCCTAGGAGAAAAAAAAAAAAATAAAAAAAAAATCCCTCGGAGATGATCAGGAAGGGGGCGAGAGGGTTAGTAGAACAAACACATGTAAGAAGTAACAGATTTCTTTCCGAACAGAGACTTGCTGCTTCAATGATTGCTAAAATGTAGCGTCACCTACCTGGGTAAGTGGGAAATAAACTTTAACGTGAAAGCTCTCCGCTCAACCTAGTTATTTTATTTTTATATTGTTTGTTTGTTTGTTTATTTTTATTCTAGCGTCCCTAGTTCTCCTTTTTACTTTGTGCCATATAATCGCTTGTAGCATTTGCACGCCCCTTCGCCCTGGGTGATGCCTGGCTTCTGTACCTGTCCTCTACATTCGGAATCCCGGAGGGAAAAGAGGAAGACTCCGGTAGGCTGGCAAAAGAGGGAGGACCCGGGCGACCACGGGGCAGCCAGTGGGAAAGAAACTGGTGTGCGCGGGTGCACAGCGACGGGGAGGCAGGAATCCAGCTGCTCTCACTCCCCCTGTGAACACATGTGGGAAAACAAGTTGTTCCGTTTGTGGTGTGTGCATTCCTGGTTTTAAATGGTTAAAGACACGTGCAGACGATTGTAGTGAAATGTCCCTCCTTCATCGCAATGTCACATTTGAGCATAAAGCGGCCGCGTATGTTAAGGTGGTTCAAAGCAACGGTCATAGCGTGTCTTGGTCATTTGGGGCGGTGAGTGAATGTGGGAGGGAAGGGAAGGTTGCCACCTCTTCCTTTGGGGAGTCCAGAGGCACGGAGGGGCAGAGTCACGCTGTGTGGAATCGGCACTGGGGAGTTGAGTGACTACAGCCCTCTCCGGAGGACTGCGGGGCTGCTCCTCCTCCGCCGGCTCCGACCCCGGCCGTTCTCCCAGCCTCGCCAGAACGCGAAAACCCTCCCCCGCCGATACCAGAGACACTCGGGTTTATATCTGCAGCATCAGCGAGAAAGCCCGGCTCTGCGCAGGCTCAGTGTTCACCGCCGCAGTCCCGAACGGAGGAGGGGGGCTCGGGAGCTCAGCATCTTCGCAGAGGGTTAAGTAGGATTAATACCAAATCCCTATTATATTTGCCAAGCAACTTGAATTTCTCAACGCCCCCCCCCCCTCCCATTTTGCTGTTCTGGAGCTCCGGGAGGAGAAAATTTTGCCCGCAGCTTAAGATCCAGACATACCAGTACGTAGCAATACCAACATACTGCATTACACCGGCTCCCTGCACTATCAGTACAATTGCAAGACAAAGCTCCCGCTGTTCCCTTCCCTTTGTGATTTTAAACGCAGCCAGGAAACTTAATATATTCGCTAGGAGAGGGGCGGGATGAGAGCGCTGTTAACCTCCCCGCCATAAACTTTAATCGGATTCTGGGCTGTTGCACGGCGTGGACACCTTCGCCTGTCGTCTGCGTCTACTTCCCCGTTGTCTCCCTTGCCTACTTCTACTACGGTCTGCTTTGCGAGAGCCTCTTTCAAGCGAATGAGTGATTCCTTTCTCTTGCCATGTGCACTCGCTCCCCCCTTCCCTTCCTACCCTCGCTGGCCTCTCTTACACACACTATGCCTTTCACATGCGGTCTGCGCCGCCCGGCCCCCCTCCCTTTCTTTTTATTTTGCAGTGTCTTCACATGCAGTCTCTCTCTGAATGTGCAATGTCTTTCCTGCTCGGGAGTGCCGCGTCCTTCACAGTGGATTGGTTCCTCTTTCGGAGCAGAGGTAACGGCCCCCCTCTTTCCTATCATCCCCCCTTCCTCCCCCTCCTCCTGCTGTCCTCCCCCAGGCAGGCGGCCGGCGTGGGAAATGGGCCCGACGTGCGCTGCATGGTGGATGGCAGCGCTGCTCCTGGTCCACGTGCTCTGGCTGCCGGGAGGGGATCGGGGCTGTGCTGCCTGTGTCCCGACCCCCTCCCCCCCACCCCGCATCCTGCTTGTTCGTGCTGGGGGGAGAACGGGAGTCACCCCCGCCCCTCTCGCAGCCACCCCGGCACCATGGAGTGCCTGTCTCGTGGCCAGTGCGCTCACAGCTGTCCGGGTGTCGGTAGGAACAAGCCCAGCTGCTTCAGCCGGGGGAGCTTTGGCCCTCCCGGTCAAATCTGTTGCGCAGTGTAACATCCCCCCCGCTTCGCTCGCAGGCTCTCCCCCCTCCTCTCCGGCTGCCCCCTCTCCCAGATGCACACAGACTCCCACACGCGTTCAAAGACGACACGGCATTTGTCCTGCTGAGATGGAGCGGGAAGCGGGATCACAAATGTAATCGGCTGTAATAAATAAAATAGACCGAGATGGTGGAGATATACAGAGGGGAAATAAGAGCTTGTGTCCTTAAAGGGAACATCTGATAAGGCCACCGAGGTGGCATCTTGCGTGTGGGAAGGAATCCGTCTTGCTGACATTCGCAGTCTGCTGTACGTGGGGAAATCCTAAAGCAGCCTAGGAGCTTCCCCAGCTCCTCTGCATCGCCCCCCGAA